TGAACGGTTACCGGTCCACACCGGTTACCGGTTGAACGGTTACCGGTTCATGCCGGTTTCCGGCTGAACGGTTACCGTTGGACCGGTTACCGGTTGAACGGTTACCGGTTCATGCCGGTTTCCGGCTGAACGGTTACCGTTAGACCGGTTACCGATTAGACCGGTTATCGTCACCGTTGCATCCCTATTATTGATATAAAATATATCGGAGAATTTTGTTTGTGATCAATCAAGTACAACAACAGATAATGATAAATGTCGAGTTGAACATATGCCTATATTATTATCAATTGTAAGTAAATGATGATACGGTACAATATGAAAGGTGATTGGAATTTTTCCACTATAAAAAGTTATAGCAGCAATATTATTCGATAATAAAAATCGAGCTTTTGACGTATTTTGATATTGATGTGGATTGAGATGATTCTTGTAATTCTAGAGAATTAAACGTTAAGAAGAAAGTCAAAATCAAAATTGATTTTAACCTAGTTGAGTATTATTTGTTTGATTCGATTGTTTATCTCAAATAAAAAAACGAGTATTATGACATTTCTTATCAACAACAAAACAAATTTCGGATAATTGATTATGACCATATATAATTCTATAGGAAGAGAAAAATTGTTGCATTTGATTTCGTCTTTGACAAATCATGCTTACCTTTTGATGTTGGTTGAATAGCTCGTAATTCATTATAGCGTATTTTTTCAAATGATGCATCGTTAATACCAACCAGCTCGATAAAAAACGAATTGACTTGATAAACATGAAAATTATGAGATGAAAATTCACGTAATAATTTACCAATAAGTATATGAAGATCTTCTATTATTTCAAAAGCTACTGTTTCTTTTGTTGAAAATTGTTGAATAACACAGTCAGTATATTGTGTACTCTAACAAAAAAAAAGCGTTTGGACAAAGAATCTTTTTTTAATAAAAAATTGACTTGCTGAATGTTTTGAATCAGTAACAACAGCAATTGCTGGTTATTCACGTGAAGATGTTATAGGAGTACAATCAATAGCAAGAAAACATAAATATATCACTACGAACGGATGGTGATGTTGTTAACTGTCAGACTAATGAAACAAGTTAATTAACACCATCTAATTTTGCATTGAACGTTTTAGCAAATTCTTTTGAGTTTTATTCCATTGGTAAAAAATGTGATTTATTTTTATCAGCTAGATTATATAACTTCATAGCAGGTAAATATGAATGACGTAAACAAACTTTCAATTTAACAGAAAAACAAGTGGCAATTATTATTTGTTCGTCGTCATTGTGAACAAATTTATGTTATTTCTCGAACGACCAAATGACTGTAACCCTTTCAACTCCAACATTTACTCTCCTTCTATACAACGTTCAAGAAAATCTAGATTTCTCTCTCCCTTACGTTCTCCTTTAGATAATCAGCTACGCACGAATTCTAACTATACTAGTTCAATGCGAAAAAAAAATTTTCGCAGCAAAGAATACCCCCGCTTCTCTGAACACACATATGATATGCGTCCAAAATTGAAAATCTTTATATAAAATATTATCATTCGAATTTATATCAACCATTTCTAAATGTTGTAAACTATCATTAGTTAATTTCATGTAAATATGATATGAATTTTTATACGAAATTATTTCCTCATTATGAAAAACTACAAATGTATTAAACAAAACATCATTAGAATGAATAATAAAATTTAATAACATATAATTAAAATATCTGAAAGAATAATTGCAATCACGATAGATCATATTAACTTGGATATAGTCTTTTTTTTTCTTGTTTCAATTAAATATATTTAATGTAAAGTATTTTCTTT